TGAGTCTCTCCTCACTGATGGTTTGTGCTTTGCTCACTATAGTGTCTCAAATCTGCCTTCTAGTTCCCTTATGAAAGGTCTGTCAAAAACACTGGCTCGCCAACAGACACACACACAATCACACACTTGAACTACCCTGTTCAAGGAAACATAATCAGAAATATAAGGGCTCTTTTGGCTAGGCGGGCATTCCGTGCTGCAGTACGAGGCTCAAACGTGAGTGGAATTTCTGTGATTCCATGCTAATGTGACCAGGATTAGAGCTGACCTACCCAATCCCATCTGATTCATTCTGAGATGAGTTGTATAATGCTGCTGGCACTCAGCTCCCTCCTAGCACAGAGGACTCTGTGTGTGTGTGTGTGTGTGTGTGTGTGTCTGGGGGAGTGGTGGGGAGGTGGTAGTGGGCTGGGAGCACAGGAGGTTGGTGGCACCTTAATCGGGGAGGATGGCTCATAGTAATGGCTGGAACGGAATACATGGATGTGTTTGATACCATTCCATTTATGCCGTTCCAGCAATTATTATGAACTGTCCTCCCCTCAGCAGCCCCCTGTGGTTGGAAGCCCTCTCCTTCTCTGTTGTGGTCAGCTGTTGAGACAAACCCAAAGTAATGCGGCTCAATGCAAATAACCTTTCACCACACATTTATGAGTGTGAGGCTCCCAAATCCTGGTGCTCGATAGCCCTAGGGACGTACGCCTTTCATTCAGAACTAGAATTTGTTGGAAAATAATTATATGCATTGTCTTTCAGTGTTGCAACACAATAAATTAAAGGATGGCACGAGCAAAATTTAGCTTTTCATCAAAGTTGAATTTTAAGTGCTATTTTCATAGGGAGGTTTTAAGTTCCGTTTTCATAATCAACAGGATGGTCTTGGACAGTTCTCCTAGGGGTCTGTCTGCGTCAAGTGAAGATCATTGGCTTTGTTTTTAACTGAGTAAGCCCAGGACTTTAGGGGGAGAATGGTATAGAGCACCTATTTATGTCTTACACTTGTATACACAGTCAGAACAGGATACAGGCATAGACACACTCTCTCACACACACACACACACACACACACACACACACAAACACACACCTCAGTCTTCAATTTTCTACAGTTCACACACAGCCACGTACAAAAACATGCACACCCACACAAACTCTCAATGTCTATGATTTGGAATTCCTCTCTTTCTTTCCCACTCTCTCTCTCTCTCTCTCTCTCTGTCTCTCATTCCTCTTTCTTTTTTCACGCAACTCAAACTGATTTATTGCTCTGACAATCTAAGATGATTTTGTGAAATAAGAAATGTGCACTCCATTCTCTCCCACCTCATTGGGTTTCTCACTCACTGGATTAGCATAGAGTTGTAAGGCTGTGCCATCATGTGATTTTTAATGTGCACGCTCCAAATCAATCACTTTTCCATTCCCCGTGGGGCCCATGGAAAGCAGTGACTTATACCTGCTGAATCCACACAGGGATACAGTGGGGGAAAAAAGTATTTAGTCAGCCACCAATTGTGCAAGTTCTCCCACTTAAAAAGATGAGAGAGGCCTGTAATTTTCATCATAGGTACACGTCAACTATGACAGACAAATTGAGGAAAAAAATCCAGAAAATCACATTGTAGGATTTTTTATGAATTTATTTGCAAATTATGGTGGAAAATAAGTATTTGGTCACCTACAAACAAGCAAGATTTCTGGCTCTCACAGACCTGTAACTTCTTCTTTAAGAGGCTCCTCTGTCCTCCACTTGTTACCTGTATTAATGGCACCTGTTTGAACTTGTTATCAGTATAAAATACACCTGTCCACAACCTCAAGCAGTCACACTCCAAACTCCACTATGGCCAAGACCAAAGAGCTGTCAAAGGACACCAGAAACTAAATTGTAGACCTGCACCAGGCTGGGAAGACTGAATCTGCAATAGGTAAGCAGCTTGGTTTGAAGAAATCAACTGTGGGAGCAATTATTAGGAAATGGAAGACATACAAGACCACTGATAATCTCCCTCGATCTGGGGCTCCATGCAAGATCTCACCCCGTGGGGTCAAAATTATCACAAGGTGAGCAAAAATCCCAGAACCACAAGGTGGGACCTAGTGAATGACCTGCAGAGAGCTGGGACAAAAGTAACAAAGCCTACCATCAGTAACAAACTACGCCGCCAGGGACTCAAATCCTGCAGTGCCAGACGTGTCCCCCTGCTTAAGCCAGTACATGTCCAGGCCCGTCTGAAGTTTGCTAGAGTGCATTTGGATGATCCAGAAGAGGATTGGGAGAATGTCATATGGTCAGATGAAACCAAAATAGAACTTTTTGGGAAAAACTCAACTCGTCGTGTTTGGAGGACCAAGAATGCTGAGTTGCATCCAAAGAACACCATACCTACTGTGAAGCATGGGGGTGGAAACATCATGCTTTGGGGCTGTTTTTCTGCAAAGGGACCAGGACGACTGATCCGTGTAAAGGAAAGAATGAATGGGGCCATGTATCGTGAGATTTTGAGTGAAAACCTCCTTCCATCAGCAAGAACATTGAAGATTAAACGTGGCTGGGTCTTTCAGCATGACAATGATCCCAAACACACCGCCCGGGCAACGAAGGAGTGGCTTCGTAAGAAGCATTTCAAGGTCCTGGAGTGGCCTAGCCAGTCTCCAGATCTCAACCCCATAGAAAATCTTTGGAGGGAGTTGAAAGTCCGTGTTGCCCAGCGACAGCCCCAAAACATTACTGCTCTAGAGGAGATCTGCATGGAGGAATGGGCCAAAATACCAGCAACAGTGTGTGAAAACCTTACAGAAAACGTTTATATAATATAATATAATATGCCATTTAGCAGACGCTTTTATCCAAAGCGACTTACAGTCATGCGTGCATACATTTTTTTGTGTATGGGTGGTCCCGGGGATCGAACCCACTACCTTGGCGTTACAAGCGCCGTGCTCTACCAGCTGAGCTACAGAGGACCACCTTTGACCTGTGTCATTGCCAACAAAGGGTATATAACAAAGTATTGAGAAACTTTTGTTATTGACCAAATACTTATTTTCCACCATAATTTGCAAATAAATGCATTACAAATCCTACAATGTGATTTTCTGGATTTTTTTTTCTCATTTTGTCTGTCATAGTTGACGTGTACCTATAATGAAAATTACAGGCCTCTCTCATCTTTTTAAGTGGGAGAATTTGCACAATTGGTGGCTGACTAAATACTTTTTTTCCCCACTGTAGAATAGCTATAGAAACAGGTTCTTTCCTGGTGAAGGTAAGCCTATTTTTCATCATTACTTTGGTTCTGAGAGTTAATACTTAATGTGCATGTAAAGAGATAACAGTGTTTATCATGAGGCTGCTCAAGCCTCCTGGGGGACATTTTTTATTTAATAGAGTTATTAATTAAACAATAAATCTGGTCATATTCATGACACAGTTGTCTCTGGACCCTGCTGAGTTATTGACTTAATGTTTCCAGTTCACTATTAGTTGCATTATTATAATAATTTTGGTCACACTTTATTAGGATAGTCCGGATTTTCCCTCTGTAGATGGAAACCTGCTTGCTAAGGTTACGGATAGGGTTAGGTTTAGAATAAGGGTTAGGGTAAGGGTGAAGGTTAGGGTTAGGTTAAGGTTAGAGTTAGAGCTTGGGTAAGGGTTAGTAGATAGTATATATTTTACTGATAGTCTGTAGATAGTCCATCTGTAGTTGCTCTACACACTATCCAAATAAAGTGTTACCTAGATTGCTACTGTAAGGAAGCTACAGGACTGTAGATTGTAGCCAAGTCCTCTTCTCTCTCTAGCCACTCAATAAAAATATATTCAGGTGAAGTCCAAATGTCTTAACGATAAAACGATCAAGCAGCCACAATACATTTCCATGGCAACCGATTTCAATCCTACTTTCCATTCCATCCTACTTTGTCAATGCTGAGTGTGTTTGATATGGCTGCAGTGGCCATGCTAGGAGGACCCTTTGATCTGAGTGCTCTTTTCATGAGCGTTGAACTACACCAGACAATAATACCAAACAGAGAAACAGAGGCGTAGCCATAGAGATCCTGTTAAATTACTAGTAAATGACTAGCATTCTAGTTCTATGGGTGTAGCACAGAAAGAGCTTGATACATTGGGCATGCAGCTGTGAATGCTGTTGCTATGCAGTTCGAGACTTGAAATTGAGGTTGTTAGGTATGTTTACTGAGACCACATTTCGGATTTAGCCACAAACAAATCTATGAGAATAACTTGAGAGTCTCTAATAGGAAAAATGTGATATGTCAAAAGTTTTATTTTTGTTTTGTTATTGAAGACAAGGTAGGTGTGTGTTCACATAGCAAATAAATTGTTTTGGAACAGCCTTCCATATCCAAGTTCCAGGGTTGTTACTTAATTTCACAGGGTAGAAGATCTCGCTCCCTGAGTGTCAGCTCAGTTAAGGCGTGCCCATTGTTTTATTTAGTCGGGTTCGGTGGCATTTGGAGGTTTAGCTGTTTGTTTTTTTGACACTGTCTCTGTCTTACACACATTTGCGGGGGGGTTGGAAAAAACATGTTAGTTATAAGGTTAAACATGTCTCAGGAGTCTTCATGCATTCACTGCAGGCTATTGTTCCTATCAATCAATATCCATTTAGAAATGCCAAGAGAAATGTTGATACAGTACACTACTGTTTCGTTTGTGAACAGCTTTAGTCAATGTTACCCCATGGTACCTTCGTCAATGCTATCCAATGGCAATGTATGTAGTAATTGTACCGGGTATCTAATCAACCCAAGACAGCACTGCAGAGTCAGCGTCTTATCCGCATGCTTGGTATTCTCCTCATCCTGATCACTCCTAGATCTGACTGGGAAATATGTCCATATTCAGAGTAGATAGGCTAAATGAGAGAAGCTCAGGAGACATACGTGACTAGTTAAGGAACTGATGTTTCAGGTCCGTCCATTTGATGCTGCATTCGAACATTTGGTCCGACATTAATTTGCTAATCAGGCTTATTGGAAGTAATGACGGCATCAGTGTTCTGCTTTTCCTGGAAGCTATTCTGTTTTCCCTCTGTCCTCCATTCACCCTCTCTCTCTCTGTGTGTCTCCCCACAGCTGATTCTCTAGATGGGGAGGAGTACCTGGATATATCAGGGATCATGAGGAACCAGGCGGGCCGCTACGAATGCAAAGCCAGCAATGACGTGGCAACACCGGACGTCAAATACGTCAATGTTGTCGTCAACTGTAAGTCACTTTTTGGGGGGTGACTCCTGTTTCTCCTGGCCTTATGTTTTTTTTATAATGCCCAGTTTACTACATTGAGATCCATGATGTGTCTTTCATGAATTGATGATTGGTTTTATGCAGAGAGGAAAAAAATATAACCAAGATGAACTGTTGTGATTGAATCCTCAGATCCTCCCGCTATCAAGAATGCCAAGAGCTCTGAAACCCAGGTGGGCCGAATGGGGGTTCTTCAGTGTGACGCGGCCGCAGTGCCCAAACCAGAGTTTGAGTGGTACAGAGATGACAAGAGGTAAGCATTTTGTGGTTGTTTGAGTCCCAGATTTCCCCTTTAATACATATCCTTTGGTCACAATGGGGGAAGAGCCTACCCTATCATCAGGCAGAGGAGTCTGGTGGGAGGAGCTATAGGAGGATGGGCACATTGTGATGGCTGGAATGGAATGAATAGAATGGGATCAAACATATGGAAACCCCGTTTGACTCCATACCATTAATTCCATTCCAGCCATTACAATGAGCCCGTCCTCCTATAGCTCCTCCCACCAGACTCCTCTGCCTGTCAAATGAAAATGTAAAATTGTCTAGGCAACCAATTTCACACCTGTGACAGAGAGGACACTTATAGAGGAGAACTGTAGGTGGACATTTGTATGTGATCATATTCCAGCTAAGCAATGACAACCATGTTCCTTTCCTCTTAGCACTAGCACACCTTAGCACTTAGCACACCTCTTAGCACACCTCTGAGATTGCTTCACTGTAACATATTCAGTGGCTATGCAAAGCAGAAAAGTGAAAGTGTTTATGGTAATATTCATGAAAATAAAATTACAGAAACTAAACAGTCTTTATAAGCTCTAAGTCAAGTTGATGTTTGTGATAAAACATTATAAATTGAGGAGCAAAAGTAGTCTATGTACTCAGTATAGAATTTATGATTGTTCAGATATTTCAATTGTTCACTACCATTATCTTATAACAATGGGTCAGTCAGCACTTTGCCCTTCTGACTCCAATCATTTCACGTCCCTTTTGATTAGCTGAGGTGATTTGGTCAAGTGTGAAAAGCTCTATATAGAAACAATTGATCCTTGATTGCGATACGGTTTTGGAAACCTTTAACACTCAACTTAATTATCATCCCAATTTTGTTTTTCACAAATGCAAAAGATACACTTACTACACTGGTTTAATTTTATGTAAAAAATAATTTTGACATTAACCCTCCAAAATGTAATTCATTCATAAACCTTTTTAATTTCCATATGTACTAGGAAGCTAAGTCTTTGTTTCTTGGCTTTCAGGAATGTCACTGAAAAAGTGCCCAGGTCTTGAAAAAGAACAAATTAAACTGATTGAAAGTATAATGAGGATATCAGCAAACAAATGGCGTGGTCAAGGCTACGACAGCGCCAGTGCAATGAGTGGAGCTTACTCAGGTGTTCAAAAGCGGATATCAGACCGAGAGCCTAATGCTTCTTAGGTAGTTCATTATGAGTTTTAGTTTAGGAAACGATCTCTCCGCAGAAGCGACAGTTAAAGGGATGGTTAAAAATAGCTTGATTGCCGTAGCAACATCAGGGAAACTGGGCAGAAGGGAGTGGTGCTTCAAATACAGCAGTTCTGCAACATCCTTAATTGAGCCTCTCATTCGCCTTAATTCCCGGCCTCAACACCTTACGGAAAGAGATTAACTACAGTGGGGGAAAAAAGTATTTAGTCAGCCACCAATTCTGCAAGTTCTCCCACTTAAAAAGATGAGAGAGGCCTGTAATTTTCATCATAGGTACACATCAACTATGACAGACAAAATGAGATTTTTTTTCTCCAGAAAATCACATTGTAGGATTTTTTATGAATTTATTTGCAAATTATGGTGGAAAATAAGTATTTGGTCAATAACAAAAGTTTCTCAATACTTTGTTATATACCATTTGTTGGCAATGACACAGGTCAAACGTTTTCTGTAAGTCTTCACAAGGTTTTCACACACTGTTGCTGGTATTTTGGCCCATTCCTCCATGCAGATCTCCTCTAGAGCAGTGATGTTTTGGGGCTGTTGCTGGGCAACACGGACTTTCAACTCCCTCCAAAGATTTTCTATGGGGTTGAGATCTGGAGACTGGCTAGGCCACTCCAGGACCTTGAAATGCTTCTTACGAAGCCACTCCTTCGTTGCCCGGGCGGTGTGTTTGGGATCATTGTCATGCTGAAAGACCCAGCCACGTTTCATCTTCTTGCTGATGGAAGGAGGTTTTCACTCAAAATCTCACGATACATGACCCCATTCATTCTTTCCTTTACACGGATCAGTCGTCCTGGTCCCTTTGCAGAAAAACAGCCCCAAAGCATGATGTTTCCACCCCCATGCTTCACAGTTGGTATGGTGTTCTTTGGATGCAACTCAGCATTCTTGGTCCACGACGAGTTGAGTTTTTACCAAAAAGTTATATTTTGGTTTCATCTGACCATATGACATTCTCCCAATCCTCTTCTGGATCATCCAAATGCACTCTAGCAAACTTCAGATGGGCCTGGACATGTACTGGCTTAAGCAGGGGGACACGTCTGGCACTGCAGGATTTGAGTCCCTGGCGGCGTAGTGTGTTACTGATGGTAGGCTTTGTTACTTTGGTCCCAGCTCTCTGCAGGTCATTCACTAGGTCCCCCCATGTGGTTCTGGGATTTTTACTCACCTTGTGATAATTTTGACCCCACGGGGTGAGATCTTGCGTGGAGCCCCAGATCGAGGGAGATTATCAGTGGTCTTGTATGTCTTCCATTTCCTAATAATTGCTCCCACAGTTGATTTCTTCAAACCAAGCTGCTTACCTATTGCAGATTCAGTCTTCCCAGCCTGGTGCAGGTCTACAATTTTGTTTCTGGTGTCCTTTGACAGCTCTTTGGTCTTGGCCATAGTGGAGTTTGGAGTGTGACTGTTTGAGGTTGTGGACAGGTGTCTTTTATACTGATAACAAGTTCAAACAGGTGCCATTAATACAGGTAACAAGTGGAGGACAGAGGAGCCTCTTAAAGAAGAAGTTACAGGTCTGTGAGAGCCAGAAATCTTGCTTGTTTGTAGGTGACCAAATACTTATTTTCCACCATAATTTGCAAATAAATTCATAAAAAATCCTACAAGGTGATTTTCTGGATTTTTTTTCTTCTCTATTTGTCTGTGATAGTTGACGTGTACCTATGATGAAAATTACAGGCCTCTCTCATCTTTTTAAGTGGGAGAACTTGCACAATTGGTGGCTGACTAAATACTTTTTTCCCCCACTGTATATAGGAAGCTCTGGGGACAGGTTGTCTGGATACAAATTGGCAGATGCAAACAGGTTATCATATTTAGCAGACAACCGTTCTTGAGGGCTTTGAACAAAAATAAACGATTTTCGTTCATACTGGTGAACCGTCGTTTGAGTTGTGTGGTTGCAATATCAATAGTCCCTTATCTCTGGTATATCTTGGCATGCATCATTCAAGACTTAGTTTAAATTGTGTGCAGTGCAATGGACATACACTGAGTGTACAAAACATTATGAACACCTGCTCAATATTAGGAAGGTGTTCTTTATGTTTTGTACACTCAGTGTATAATGTACAATGTCTCAGGAAAAACTATCTGGGGTGGCAATACTCATGATAGAACAGTCGGGCCCGCAACCTAGACCTACAGGCCGTGGTGAAAACATTTGCACACAAAAAAGGAGGACTTCAGGAGACCAGGGGATTCTCTCAAGTTGGATTTAATTTGATTTAGGCATCATTTGTGTAGGCTATTAGCCAGACAAAACCCGCTGAATTCAACAATAGATAGTGGCTGAATTTATCCTCAAACCAACAACATTTTTCCTCATTGTTATTTTATGTGTAATTTTTTATAAATAGCACCTAAATTGCAGCTATAGATAGTACACTGCATAATGAAACAATCCCTAGTAACCTAGTGTTTTGAGGGTGGACCTAATGTATTATTTGGCATTAATAGACTGATTTTACACACAACAACTTTTCTATCCAAGCTGGGAGAGAGAGTGAGGACGGCTCAGTTCATGCAGGTTCAGGTAGCCTATATACAGCTGTATATTCAAAAAAGTCAATTGGTAGGTGATTGGTATTCTGTTGTATTAAACATTTATTTGACAATCTGCAATGTTTGAATTTCCAACTTTAATTACTGAAAATGCAATTACATAATTGCCACCAACCAGCCAGCAGTCAAAAAATGGCAGCATTGCGACAACGTGTATAGCATCGTGAAATATTAGGCTTAATCTGAGAAAATGATGACCAAATAGGCCTACCGATAAACATTTATCCATTAGCTAAAGCAAAGCTATGCCCTGGCACCATAGAAAGCCTATCATCGATTCGATAGGCATGCAGCCGCATAGACATGTTGCAATTTCAGCACCATGGACAGCGATCGGTTGTCTACTTTGTTAGTGGCTGTCTGGCTGACACATTCAATTATTATAATGGCTACATTGCAGGGGGCCCAGAGAAACTGTGTTACACCAGTGACTTACTGTTAGCTGTTTTATCACAGATTTCGACAAAGGTTTTTTGTGTAACAGCTTCGAGACAAAAAATGTTTTGTGTTCCCTCCTGGGTTTCCATAAGCTCCGGAAGTGTCGTAGTTCAGGTAAATATGCAACGCAAAACACCTCCGCGTAAGTGTATCTTTTGTATTTGTAAAATTGTTTTTCGATGATAATAAGTTGTGTTCAAGGTTTCCAAAACTGCATCACAAGGATTATTAACCTTTAGACAGAGCATCGGGGCTCTTAACATATAGGTTTGTGAATTAACTGTAAGGCGCTAACATTACTGTACATGAATGGGAAACATTTCGATTAGAAGGGAGAGTATACCTTCTTGTCAAATTGTTTTGGCTAGTAAAGAATTATGTATATTCACTAATGAATCAGCTGGCATACAGAATCAAACCACAATCCAAAAATCTAAATAACCAAGCCTTCCAAATGTTCCAGAAGCAATACTCCACAGAGGATATTTTTTTTGAAAATCAATACAATATCCCTTAAACAAGTCTTTGTGAATGTTCTCACTTGTATGGAGTTGAAAAAAACTAGTCTTTTAAACTACGAAGAGTTTCTTGGTTACAAACATTTCTGACCACAACATCACAGTCAAGATGGCTTCCTGACACACCCACTCAAACCAGGAAGTGACTATGGGTGTGGCCTGGGAGTGAACGGGCGGAGCCCACAACCTTTACACATCTCAAGGAACCATGGAACATTCTGGATTACAATCTTACTGTAGTTGTTTTGTTCCCCTGAACTCCTGGCTTGGTTATTTCTTGAGAAAAATCCACATCTCAGGCCATCTGTTTTTGTGGATCCAGCGATATGCCACAATCCAAAATGAATGGAAAGGATAAGCACCATATCATTTCCAGATTTGCTGTGCTTATCTTTTCATTTGGGGTTGACTAATATAGCTAGATCTACACAGCCAATGGCATGGGATGTGGACTTGTGTTGACATTAGACTGCCTTTGAGGTCAGAAAACATCTGCCAAACTTTCAATTCAAACTCTAATAATCCTTTAAGTTCCCTTCCTTACCTCTGCATGATGTAGCATGTTATTACTTTATCTCCTTCAAATACTTGCTTAATGTAATACAATACCATAATATCAAATCATGCTTGGCCAGTTGATTTTATGTCTTGCCTTTAACAATGAACTTAATGTACCTTATCAAGCATATTTACTTCCACATTGCAAGAGGCTTGTTCCCCAACTTGTTTCCTGTAATTTCCTTTAACCTTACCAGCACTGACCTTGTCATGACTGCCCACGACTGCTGTTACATTTGAACTACTTTACCACTGAGATCTCCACACAATCTCCCAGTGGCATCTGATGTATAGGAATCCTGTAGTGCTTATTGATAGTTTAGCAATTAGCATTTCCCAAGCCTGACCCACTCCTCCTAATCCTCTACTGGGGATTCTGAGGCTCATTACAGTTGCTGCTGCTTGGTCCTTTGATCTGGAACCTCCTGCGCCTCTATTAGTCTCTCTAGTTTATGATTACATTCCTCGTCTTGGCACCTGCCCTGAACTATGCCGCATGAAAGTCTTCGGGGAAGAGGAGGGTGGTACAGTATAGCCTGGTTAACCCTGACTGGACACTGCGCTCACTCATTGTGAACTGAAACAATGGTGAGTGTAGAGATCAGTCGGGTTTAACCAGGCTAGTTACAATACGTTGGTTCTTGTTCAGGCTCCTGTGCTGTTCAGAGCCTGATATTCCAACAATGTTGAATATGGGGAAGCGTTTTTGTTTCTCCCCATCAACATGAGTTGCTGTCACAACCTCTTGAGAACATTTTTCATTTTCCCTGCCACCTACAAAACTCGACATGTCTTGTTGATTTCCTTTATCAACAGCCTGTAGACATCCTACTTCTGTCACTCACCGTTTCCTATAATAGCCTACTTTAGATGCACCCACATGCAAACTGGAGAGACGAAGAATGAGATGTGTCTGCCTGATTGTTTGACACATTCCCGTTCAAACCAGTCACCCTCTCTGTACCCTTTTCCCCCTTTCAATGCTGGAATCAAATATGTCCTTCTGTTAAAGAATGGCTGTGGCTTCTTAAAGATAATATGTAATTTAAAAGACATGTGCTGCCATCTGCCAGTGGAAGATGATGGTGCAATGAACTAGGTATTATTTGGATCCATTCACTGGATGCTTCAGACTTCACACAGTTGCTTATGACCTGACCATAGCAGGATATGTTGTATTCCCTACTGCTCAACCTGGACTTGGGGGTAGATGTAACATTGTAAATGTAAATCTGTCTTCCTCCATTTAGTATGATATGTTACGAATTCCAATTTGTTGTGGCTAACGTTAGCTAGGTGGCTAACGTTAGCTAGGTGGCTAATGTTAGCTAGGCTAGGTGTTAGGCTTAGAGTTTAAAGTTAGGGTTAAGGTTAGGAGTTAGGTTAAAGGGTTAGAGGAAGGGTTAGTTAACATGCTAAGTAGTTGCAAAGTAGCTAAAAAGTAGTAAGTAATTGCAAAGTTGCTAAAGTTGTCCGTGATGAGAATCGAACATGTAACCTTTGGGTTGCTAGACGTTTGCATTATATGCCCACCCGTCCACCCCGAACAACTATCTACCCTCCCTCCTTTCGTTTTTGCCTCAACTAACTTTCTGTCTTATGTAACCATACCAAGCTGTGCTGTTAGAACCAAACCCAATCATCTAACAGCATGCATGTGCTCTGAAATCCCATAGTGCCTTTAGTATCTAGGGAGTCACCTGGCCCAGGTTTGATATTTCAGTCTAATGCCATTTTCCATGACATGAGCCACATGTCTTCATTGGCCTTATCATCACTGGTGGTGTGAACGATCCCACTAAAGTTTTGAAGTCCCTCCATGCTCAACCCAAGGTGTCCCACTAGGAGGATCTCAGCACTTTCTCAACTTTCTGCTTCCCCGCCACCAGATTATGCTGTCTCATGATGTGCACTGGCTTTCCTTTTTATGCAAATGTTTTATACTACCGTGTGTCAGCACAAAACCAAACCCACTGCCCCCTTAAGTCAGTCTCAGCTATCCTAGCACATTAGAATGTTAAAGGTTGGATCAGTTTGAAGCCCTTCATACATTACCTTAAGTGTGTCTCTACAATCTATTATATACTGACTATACCAAACATTATGAACACCTTCCCAATATTGAGTTGCCCCTCCCCCTTTTGCCCTTAGCCTCAATTCGTCGGGGCATGGACTCTACAAGGTGTCGAAAGCGTTCCACAGGGATGCTGGCCCATGTTGACTCCAATGCTTCCCACAGTTGCTTCTTGTTGGCTGGATGTCCTTGATACACACAGGAAACTGTTCAGTGTGATGAACCCAGCAGTGTTGCAGTTCTTGACACAAACCGGTACACCTGACCCCTACCACCACACCCCGTTCAAAGGCACTTAAATATTTTGTTTTGCCCATTCACCCTCTGAATGGCATACATACACAATCCATGTCTCAATTGTCTCAAGGCTTAAAAGTCCTTCTTTAACCTGTCTCCTCCCCTTCATCTACACTGATTGAAATGGATTTAACAAGTGACATCAATAAGGGATCAAAGCTTTCACCTGGATTCACCTGGTCAGTCTATGTCATGTTGTGTGTACTCAGTGTCAATAGACTCTATGATAAGGCAAACCGATGTTATCATAATTCATTATTTGTATGTAAATGTATGCGAGGAACTGTGTGAATATTGATTTTCGCATTAATTTGTCTTTGAATCGATCTGACTAGTACTGTACTCTATGTATTCTAAAGACAAAAGTCGCAGACAAATCAGATGTCCTGAGTCTTATGCATATTGTATTATAATGCCTAACGTGATGTACCGTCTTGTCCAGGCTATCCAACGCCCAGGGAATCAGCATCCAGATTGTAGGGACCACAACTGTCCTGATGATCTCCAACGTTACAGAGGAGGACTATGGCAACTACACATGTGTTGCAACCAACAGACTCGGGATCCAAAATGCTAGTCTCTTCCTCTATAGTAAGTGACTTTGGAATAATATACAATCCCCCAAAATCTCTTAATTAAATGTCTCTGAAATTAGACACATTAGACAATGTTACGAATTCTAGGCCCATTCTATTAGATGTGGGACTAGAAAAAGCTGTATTACATGGTCTGACCACCAGATGTCACTCACTGCACACAAATGAATTCCTGTAGAGTCATAGCAACAGTACCGATACTCAGACAGGGACTCAGACAGGCATAACAATTATACATTTACACATTATTACATCACATAGAAGTGACATATATTGAATGAAACATCAACAAAACGAATATGTTAGTCTTTAACCTCTCTTCCTCTGTCCCCCTCCCTCCCTCTCTCTCCAGGACCTGGGACGGGTCGAAACATCAACGGCTCCGCCTGCCTATCCCAGTCACTGTGGCTCCTCCTGGCCTCCATCACCTGCCTTTTCTTCAAGTGTTAATAACACCACCAACCTACCATTGTTATTACCTACCCAGTTATTACATTGAGACTGTTTGGTTAATGTAACAAAAATCCTGATGTGCTTCGATGCACCAAACTAGATAATAAGAAGATAGAATGGGCTTATTAATAAGTTTTAGTAACAAAAAAAAATGAAATGGAAAAAATGGAACAAACACTGCTTTTTCTATGAAACAGTTATTGCCATTTTAACATGCTGAAGTCTTGCTTTTCTGCTGTCATTGCTCTTGTTTCGGTTGGGAGGATTGGGTGTGGTTCATTGTATTTTGTCCCCATGAAAACATAAGTCTAAACTCCCAAATGGCAGGGATTTCAGGTCAAGTACAACAATCATGGATATCTGTGAGAAGCACTGAGACATTCAAGTTACTGTTCCTTTCCTAATGGCATTTGACTGTATTGTTAGACTAAAAGGTCATTGTAACCAGTGCATTATCAAACAATAATACGCCAATATCTGTCCAAAAACTGAAATTTTAAAAATATAAAACAAAACAATAGATTTGAAAGTATTTATAATACACATTATGTCAAAGCCAACATACTCCAGTCAACATTACAGAAAAACAGTAGAACATGCAATGTTATATTTGGTATACTTAATTTCAATAGTAAAGTGATAATAACCGGGCGCAAATAGCCTCAGCTACATTAGATACATGGCTAGTTGTCTCTATATTAACTGCCACATTTTTGGACACATCAAAGGATGAGGATGCACAATAACTGTGGACTAGCATGAGGTATGCTTTGGCGAACTACTCAGTGCAAACCCTCATAGAAACGCTTGAAATGTGTATTCATCTTTATGTCAAAAAATAAGACCTACTTTCAGGACCTACATCAAACAAAACGTAATATTGATGCGTTACTGTATATACTTTTTAAAAAGTATTTCTCTATATGATAGAAATAGTCATTATTGTTGCAGTATATGTTGCTTGTATGATTACAAACCAACTATATACTGTTCAGTTTCTCTATGGCAAACTGTATTTAGCTTCAGAAATGGCCTGCCATATTAGCTTTTATGTTGTCAACTTTCTCCAATAAATGTTGAGCTACCACAGTTATACTGCTGGAATTTGGATAGAAATGTATGACACCAATGAATGATGTGCTTTTCTTTTATGTTTTACAAGTATGTGTGTTTTCATAATGAGATATGGAAATTCATAATTTATGGATTTATTTAAATCATTTCCCTTAATGGTGTATATACTTGAATCCAATGTCCTTATATATAAAGACACATTTAATATGTCCATGTTTCTAAATAAGTCTGTAATTTGTTGATAATTAACTTGTAGTATTCCATGGCAGCAGCACTTTGCACCATGCAAGTAAAGACCACTAGAAAACAATGTTTTTAAAAGGGTTTAATAAGGTCAAGTTTGTGCATTTATTGTACCTTTCCAATTATAAGATTGTTTTAGTTTGTCTTTGAGTTGGGTACATAGATGTATTTGGTTTCTAGAATGAAAGCTCATGGAGAGTGACCATGAGCTGAATGCCAAAATGAACTGAGGCAAACAAAACAGATAGGTCTCATGATGACATTGTCTACCGCTATCTGTCAAGTCAGTGTTCACAAAACAAACCTGTAATGTAAGTAATGCTCTCTGAAATCTCATCATCATTAAAAACCTCCACTGTATTCATACTGCTTTGGAACCATGACTGTAAGGTAGTTGTCCATCTAAGCAGTCACACTTCTTTGTAAAAAACAGACTTGCTGTATGTTAGCCTTAGTGCTATACTGAGAATATATCTGTGTCATCTCTGTATTTTCAATTACCCATAAAACAATGAACGCTAGGCCTACTGTACATCCTGCCTCTGGACGATAGTTTATTAACAAAACAATCTGATTAAGAAATGAATAATCTGTCTGTTCACTCCAATAAAGGGGTAAGCATTATAATTTGATGGGAAGTGTTTTTACGTGTCAGAATGGGAAGGCATGTGGACTATAGTACAGTACTGTATCTGTCTGCCTGTCAAAGCTAACGCACTGGGGAAAGCAGTGGGCCGGTCTTGCAGTGATTGACAGTCTCCTCAGCCAGTGAGCCATCAGACGTTTAGCTGAAGTCTTTCCCAAGAGGAGGGGTCTCACCTGACTGCACTGTACCCAGCCTATGCCTATGCATACAGCCCCTGATCCCTTATGACTGATACCTGGGGAACTGAAGGGGACTGATATGTCTACCTAGATTCTTACTAATAATAAACATTGCATCCCATTCGCTGTATAAAATTGGCTTGTGTGTGTGCTCACCCTGTTGAGTTACTTTGGCTTGTTTGAAGCCATTGAAAGAGATACATGCGGCATGAATTACCAGTCATTTACGTTGGCCACTAGTTTATCCATCCCACCAAGCTATGGTTACATGTGTAACCCACCATCTTATGATTTATCTCACCTGTATATACAATGTTTTTAGAATATATTTAAGTTGAGTCTATCCCTAAGTTCACTTTGTTGATTATACCACTGTAGGACACAGAGGAATGTCACATTTGTACTTCCCTTTGTCACAATAATGAATTCCTAGACCATTATACAATCATTACACAGCAATGTCCCGTTTTCTATTTCCTTTGATTTATGGTAAAGTTATTGCAAATTATTTCTAAAAATGGTATGTAAAGGTATACAAGAAAGATTTTCGACACAAAATAAAGTTCAGTGTTCTGTATTTGAATGTGGATTGAGATGTCAATGAGTGATCTTTTTGGCGAACGCTTAAAACACAGTATCTTCTGGTACAATTGTGTTTATCACCATGTAACATGCAAATAAAATAATATACGTATTGTTAATTCTCATTGGGAGATTTGTGTCCTATACTATATATTTCTGGAGTGTTTGACAAACTATAAATCTGTTTTGGACAATTTCTAGCCAGTTAACTCTGGACATTGGAAATGACACTGACAAAGCTATCTGAACAGTGTGATCCCTGGAAGGAGAACTCTTGCCAGTAGGTAAAGTCATTTGCATTGTCTGACTGAAATGATAGCCTTTATAGAAAGAAAGGGCCATTGCTATGGACGCTGATGAACTCCTGAAATGGATGGAGTCAATTCATTTGCTATGAGCCTTGTAGCGTTTTTATCTAACCTTTAAACCAGGAGGCCCCATTGAGATAAAGAATCAAGGGAAAGACATTCTCTGGCATCAGATGACTCAGTAGGGGGGAGGGGGTAAGTACGGTGGCCCTAAGGGGCAAAGGAGCTTTAAAATGTAGTGCTAGGTTGGGGTCAATTCCAACTGAATTTGAAATTCCTATTTAATTCTTGAATTCACTCATGAAGTGGAGAATTTACGTTGGATTAAATTCTAATTTGAAAAATCTTCAAATTTTGGAATTGAATTGGAATTACATTGTTTGGACTTTTTTAATATGAATTGTAAAAACATTTGATCTTTGGAATTGTATTGAATTAGAATTCAATAGTTGTATATGTAAACGTTAATGGTGTTTTTTACATTGTACATACTATAAAAAAAAAAAATTATCATTTCAACCTGTATTCCAGTATAGCTAGGCTGTCTGAACATTGATATAATCAGCCTGAAAGCCAGAGGGAACTGGAATCTTTGGAATTTTGGGGGATAATATTTTTGGGGAATTTACCTAACATTCTAATTCAGAGGAATTTAATTATCTCTGAATTCAAAGACTGACCTAGAATTTGAATGAAATTAAATTGGAATTTACAGGGCAAGATAATTTAATTATAATTGAATTTGTGGAATTGACCATAACAATGGACAGCACATGCACCAGTCCAGCCTTAGCAGTTCATGAGAAATATATCTGGTGATTATGAAACACTAGCTGATCCTCCAACACAGACCTGACCAACTGGAAGTGTTTGTGCCAAATACTGGGAGTATGGAAGAATGGGTGTATCTATAACGTATCTAGCTTTTTAAAAACTGTGAGCGAACCACCAGTATGTTTTTACTATCAAGTCATTTGGGCTCGATTCAATCCGTAGTGCTGAAGATCTGCGTTGTAGTTCGATTGACATTTAAAGGCAATGTTCCTGCATTAACGGAGACTGCATTCACTGTAACCGCGCCATATGTCGGCTCAATCGGAAATAACCTTTACATTTCAAGTGCGCTATAGCACTGAATCTCGGCAATACGGATTGAATCAAGACCCAAAAGTATAGCATTTGTTACTAATAAGCTAATAGCTGGGTATTGTTTCATGCCAGGGATTCGATTCAATATGTAGCGCTGAAGAGCTGCCATACAGCGCAATAGAAATGTAAAGCCAATGTTCCCAAGTTAGCAAACTGCATTCACGGTAAACGCTGCATTGGTCGGCTCAATCGGAAATTACCTTTAAATTTCAATCGTGCTATAGTGCTGAACTTCAGCGATACGGATTGAATCGAGCCCCAAGCCCTAAGCTGCATGTGCTACTACGCTCCACTAGATGTCTCTAGATTTCATTAATAATAATACTACTATACTCTAATTCAGGCTTAATGTGAAAGTGGCTTATCATTAGCCTTCATTAGCAAATATTTTGTTTGAAATATATTCCACAACTTAGGATGGTAATTGGCACATTGCTTTATTTTGAAAACAGACATTGAAACCATTATTTAATTTTTTTTTCACAATTTAACTCCTTAGATTCAAACTGGACATTGCACTCACTGGAACATAGGAAACGTTTTTTTGTTTTGTTTGTTTGATTTTCTTTTTAACATCAGTGCAAGAGTAATTCCAATTCATATCAAACTGTCATAACAACACCAAGGACATCAAAAAGAAGCCACGTTTTTTTTGTATTGTGACTGCGAAGGTCCTCTTAGTGGAAGAGTTCCCATGCAAGTTAGATGGTTCATGCTAATCATGTAATTTGGAAGGGGGATTTTAGTTGTGGGGCCAACAACATTTATGTCATAGTATTCATCGTTTTCCGTAAAGTTGTGAAAATCACCTCAGACTTCTTCATTTAATAAGTGAGGAAGGAGAAGGACCAATTATTCAAAGAACGTAAATCAAGCTTGATCAACTCAAGCAGAATATGAAAATGTCCTGTCCTGCTTTGTAGGGTTTTAAAACTCAGTTCAAAACGTGGATACATCCAACCATCGATTCAATCATGTAATATACAAAACATACCCAAATCATACCACTTATAGCTTGAACCAAAAAACGCATCTTGGAAACTCCCCCAACATAAGAAAATCATTGCCACACAAAAAATGACAAACAAATAAAAATGGACTGTCTTCACATTCAGAAGTAGAAGAGTCACCCTTTAAATTGACTTGTAATCATAGTAATTTGTTTCTCTATGTTAAACTTTCTCTTGTTCCTCCTTGGACTCCTCCTGGTCTGCCTCTGCTGGGGCCTCAGCTGGTTGGGATTCATCTGCAGCATCTGAAAGAAGAAATTGGGAGGAGAGAGCGAGAGCGAGAGCGAGAGAGAGAGAGAGAGAGAGAGAGAGAGAGAGAGAGAGAGAGAGAGAGAGAGAGAGAGAGAGAGAGAGAGAGAGAGAGAGAGAGAGAGAGGCAGAGAGAGGCAGAGAGAGAGAGAGAGAGAGAGACGAGAGAGAGAGAGAGAGAGAGAGAGAGAGAGAGAGAGAGAGAGAGAGAGAGAGAGAGAGAGAGAGAGCATTTTGCGCAGTTTTTCAGTAACAAAATGTGTATTTGTAAGATCAGGCCTACATATGTAAGTAATGTAAGCGGTGAGGTGGAGACCGGTTTATTCTCAGTGGACTGTGTGACATACAGTAATAAAAAGGCTACTTAGACCCCTCTCTACAGAGACCCATTATAAAGAGCTGTCTGTATATGCCTGTGGCTGTCACATTGTTATACTTCACTTATTACTTAACATGCTTACAAAAAGGCCTATGACTTTTTTTGGGCAGAGACATACAGTGGGGGAAAAAAGTATTTAGTCAGCCACCAATTGTGCAAGTTCTCCCACTTAAAAAGATGAGAGAGGCCTGTAATTTTCATCATAGGTACACGTCAACTATGACAGACAAATTGAGGAGAAAAAATCCAGAAAATCACATTGTACGATTTTTAATGAATTTATTTGCAAATTATGGTGGAAAATAAGTATTTGGTCACCTACAAACAAGCAAGATTTCTGGCTCTCACAGACCTGTAACTTCTTCTTTAAGAGGCTCCTCTGTCCTCCACTCGTTACCTGTATTAATGGCACCTGTTTGAACTTGTTATCAGTATAAAAGACACCTGTCCACAACCTCAAACAGTCACACTCCAAACTCCACTATGGCCAAGACCAAGGAGCTGTCAAAGGACACCAGAAACAAAATAGTAGACCTGCACCAGGCTGGGAAGACTTAATCTGCAATAGGTAAGCAGCTTGGTTTGAAGAAATCAACTGTGGGAGCGAGAAATGGAGGATGGAAGACATACAAGACCACTGATAATCTCCCTCGATCTGGGGCTCCACGCAAGATCTCACCCCGTGGGGTCAAAATGATCACAAGAACGGTGAGCAAAAATCCCAGAACCACACGGGGGGACCTAGTGAATGACCTGCAGAGAGCTGGGACCAAAGTAACAAAGCCTACCATCAGTAACACACTACGCCGCCAGGGACTCAAATACTGCAGTGCCAGACGTGTCCCCCTGCTTAAGCCAGTACATGTCCAGGCCCGTCTGAAGTTTGCTAGAGTGCATTTGGATGATCCAGAAGAGGATTGGGAGAATATCATATGGTCAGATGAAACCAAAATATAACTTTTTGGTAAAAACTCAACTCGTCGTGTTTGGAGGACAAAGAATGCTGAGTTGCATCCAAAGAACACCATACCTACTGTGAAGCATGGGGGTGGAAACATCATGCTTTGGGGCTGTTTTTCTGCAAAGGGACCAGGACGACTGATCCGTGTAAAGGAAAGAATGAATGGGGCCATGTATCGTGAGATTTTGAGTGAAAACCTCCTTCCATCAGCAAGGGCATTGAAGATGAAACGTGGCTGGGTCTTTCAGCATGACAATGATCCCAAACACACCGCCCGGGCAACGAAGGAGTGGCTTCGTAAGAAGCATTTCAAGGTCCTGGAGTGGCCTAGCCAGTCTCCAGATCTCAACCCCATAGAAAATCTTTGGAGGGAGTTGAAAGTCTGTGTTGCCCAGCGACAGCCCCAAAACATCACTGCTCTAGAGGAGATCTGCATGGAGGAATGGGCCAAAATACCAGCAACAGTGTGTGAAAACCTTGTGAAGACTTACAGAAAACGTTTGACCTGTGTCATTGCCAACAAAGGGTATATAACAAAGTATTGAGAAACTTTCCACCATAATTTGCAAATAAATTCATAAAAAATCCTACAATGTGATTTTCTGGATTTTTTCTCATTTTGTCTGTCATAGTTGACGTGTACCTATGATGAAAATTACAGGCCTCTCTCATCTTTTTAAGTGGGAGAACTTGCACAATTGTTGGCTGACTAAATACTTTTTTTCCCCACTGTATATAGCAACAGTTCATTCCTCTCAGAACCTGCTAGGTGGGATTCTCGAGTCCAAGACTAAATCTTAAGAAATCTACTTTTTGGTACAGCTGGCCTACATTTATACCTACGATTTATTTGAGCAATTGTACTATTTTATTGCAATTGTACTATAAAGTCAAATTTTAACCCTGTGAGACCTAAGCATAGATCCAAATCAGATTTGTTTTTACCCTTCAGAAATACTTGGAATAGGCCTCTGATTATGAAAATAATCTGTTTTTGGAATTTCAAGTTTGAATAAAGACATTCTGAAAACATTGCAAAAATGCAACACTGGGCTTCAATGGTAGCAAAAATGTGTGGTAAGAAAACTGAAATTATATTAAAATCACATCAAAATGGATCAAACATTTACATGTGATTTAAAATATTGTCTAATGGTATATACATTTGAAATGAAGTCATATTTTGTCTGAAATAGGCAAATTGATCGACTTGACCAATTCAAACAGAATAAAAAAATATATATATATTTTTTTATATGTATGGATAACATATTTGGTTGTCCTTTCTGGGTTATTTTGGAGAGATAATCTATCTTACTTCTTTATCATAAAATGGCAGTATTCTTTTAATATATATATATATATATATATATATATATATATATATATATATTGATTTTTGTTCTTTTGATGTGTAGAAGGGATCAAAGTTACTCTCGAAGTATTTGGTTATCCATATTATTTGCAGAATTTGGAAGGGAAACAATGTTTTACTTGTCTATCAGTATATGAATGTCTCAGTTTGGCAACCCTTCAAGCCTAATGTTGCATTTTTGCATCACTTACAAAACTACCTCTAGCTCGAAATATTTTTTTCTTGATATGTTTTTTTCTACATAATCACTACATCTTAGAGAAGACAGGAAAAATATTTCAAGTCATGTACTTGCATGGATGGCCTACAACATATGCTTGTGTAGGGGACCAGTGTGGTCTCAGACGAGTGGACAGTTTTCTAATGTTTCGGAGGCTACTGATGCCACAATAGTCATACCAACACACAACAAATACTACTAAGAGATGCAGTACATCTGGGTCTAAGGATATGCACTTTGTAGTGTTTGGTATAATTGCTTTGTTTAGGACCTGTACAGGACGCAATTTAGAAAACTCATTTTTGCAACAATGGGTCTCACAGGGTTGTTTCCCATCAAAGCTATTGTCCACATTTCTTGGAGGTAATGATGTCATCATGACTGCATTGACTTTAATCATCAGCATGACATCATCTTTGCTGGTCATCCTCTGGGAATCAGAGATGGAGCTAGACTTGCGTGTATGTGACTCATGATAGATGACTCACACAGCACTTAGTATTCTACGGGCAATCAATGGGCAGGTTTCAGGTAAGGGAGTGGTAACCATGCAATCACTGTGAAAATATTGACATTTCAACCCATCCTAGAAGATGAGCTAATTTATTATTTATCCCGATTTCTCTCTCTGGGGATCAATAAAGTTGATTCAGTCATTCATTAACTCATCATGAAAGTCTCCATCAATAATATTTATGCGAAAGGTCTTCCAACAACACCGTCTTGTGTTTCATTGTGTATAGACCCTGGATATACCAGACAGATAATATAAACACCTCCACTGCTTCATATTGAATACAAAAATATGTAGTTTTTGTCATTATTGTTGAGCACCCCTCCTTTTCTTTGTTTGCTGAAGCTCGAAGGCCCACCTGAACTCCACTCAAATATTGAATTCCATTTGGACTATATCCTGTACATTGGTCTTTATGACCTACATTTTTGCAGTGCTTCATATGATGGTTAGCCATTCCAGGTCATGCATGTCTTCACGGTCTGCTGGTTTCCAACTTAATTGACCAGTTTAAGTAATTTATCATTCACCAGTTTAAGTAATTTATCATTCGGTAAGTCTGAAAACCATGGCCAGGTATCCCGGGTCTACACCAGTAGCCAAGTATGTGTAACTATGACAACCTGCAGACAGTGCAGCCCCTATGACCTAGTTTCTCCCAGTCCTGTCTAAGCTTCTGTCCCAAATGGCATCTTGTACCCTATAAAGTGCACTACCTTTGACCAGGGCCCATAGGTCTCTGGTCAAAAGCAGTGCACTACGTAGGGAATAGGGTGCCATTTAGGACCTCGCCATTGATCCTCCTGTAGAGGATTCTGCACATATTCCATTAGGTAGGCTACATCATAGAGCTGTCTCATGGGAGTTCCTGGACTGGAACAAGATAACCTACTGAGCATTTGCCCTTTTCTCTCATACTTTTTAGTCTAAGCTAATAGAACCAATCAAAGATGTAAAGAGATTATGAGTAACAGCTTGACGTTATGCCATTTTGTAAATTTGGCTCACAGACAATTTTATTATTAATAATGAATGTATTATTCAAGCTATTGTGTAGCCTTTTTGGCTTGTGTTGTTTGTGTAGCCTTTTTCTAAGCTCATCTACATGGATGGGCATCTCAGAGGCTGAGTTACAATAAGGCCTACCTTTTTTGTCTTGTGTTTGGTGAGGCTCCTCCTTATCAGCCGTCTCACTGACAGTAGCAGCAGGCACGTCGGCTTGTTTGGACTCCTCCTGGGCAGCACCACCCTCCACACTCTTTTCAGCACAATCAGTGGAGGGGTTTTGAGCAGAAACCGGAGCCTCATTGCTGTCCACCTCTTTGGGCTTCTCCTTGGTGTCGCTGGGCTCTGCCTTGGCCTCCTCTTTGGGAGGCTCTGAAGGCGCCGCAGTGGGAGAGGCTGCTGCTGCCACAGGCGAGGTGGCGACAGGGGCAGGAGAGTTTGCTGGCTTTTCTGAGGTGGGGCTTTTGGCTTGGCTCGTCTCCTCCTCTTTAATCTCAGTGGGGGCTTTTTCCTCGGCACCCTGCTCAGTCGCAGGGGGGACGTCCTCCTTCTTCTCCTCCTCTCCGTCTGCCGCCTCCTTCGCCTCCTCCTCTGGGACAGCTGGACTGGCCTCCTCATCCTCCTCTCCATCTTTCATTTTTTTCCGGAGTATGTGTCCACGGAAGCTGGCCTGGATTTTGGTGGCCGCCTTGTGGGCTTTGTCCTCTGGTTTCTTCTCATCCTGCTTGATTTCCTGGTCAGCCTCTTCATTCTTCTCAACCTTGGGAAAGAGACAGGATGTCAAGAAGTGATGAGCATATTAGAGGACAACAAACCACCAAGGGCTTACTATTTACATTTTGTGTCTGCCCTAAAATGAAGCAATATTATTGTTATCTAACTAACAAGACTTTCAATTGCCTCTTCAAAGAACCAAACAGGTACCCTTCTGTTGCCTCCCATCCTTATGGCTGAATGGGAAAGGTCTCCAATGAAGTGGTATCAGAGGACCATACTCAATGGGCCTGCCAAATAATGAGTGACAGTAACTATTTTGTGAAGCCCTTTTCTATCAACATCCAACCAATAGCTTCTCTTATTGTGGCAGATGAACAGATAGCATTCCACTGTGGTGAATGGCATTGGATGTTATTCACATACAATCCCAATGGTTCTGAATAAGAACGCTTCCAAAAGGCATCTCCAATAACACATCCCACCAACATACCCACCACCCACAATAGAAACTAGGTTATAAGTAGAATGAAGGGAAATTAAGGTAGAATAAAGGTGGATAGCTCAAGGCAGAAGAAGGTACAGTCCGAGCAGGCGGTGAGAGTGGGATGTGGATCTGAGCAGGGTTGTTCAGGTTTGGGGTGTAAGAAGTTAGTGGCCATGGCTGGAGCAGAGTTTAGGAAAATATTAGGAATATGAGTGGGATAGGTTTTGGAGCCTGTACAGAGCGCCAAGCTGTTACCTTTGATATCGGGATCCATAGTTGGAGTGGTCCATCAAATAGAGGGCAGTGTTATGGTTCTTATAAATCTAATGAAAAAGAAATGAAGTGAAATAAGGAAAAATAAACAATGATGTTGAAATTGACAAAGCAAAAAATGATCAATATATTCAAAATGAATAAATAAATAAACAGATTGTATTGATTTGAATTATGCATTTATCTCACACAGACAAATTATGTTAATCTGAAAATAATAGTGAACCAATGTAAAGCAAACATAACAGGCAGTGTGGCCTAAACCAAATCAAAGAGACTGTGATTCTAAATCCATTATGTAGCTAAGAGTGTTACATGCTCTGTCTTTCACTATATTACCCAATGTGATGTTTTCATGAGGGGTTCTTGCTTCTTGTTACAAATATGTTACAATTTTGGTCTCGTTGCATAATAAACCAAAGAGTGCTGCATGTGGACCAGTTACGTTTTGATGATTAATCTAATGTTCCACTTAGTATTTGTTTTGATATGTTTTTAGATACTGTAATCGGTTACTATCATTATGTTGAACGCCACCTTCAATAACATAGTCATAATAACATCAATTATGCTATTATTACTATGTTATTCAAAATGGCGTGCATCGTTGTTTAATTACTAGATTACTGAAAGCTGCTTTGTGGATCCATCTTTGGTTGCTACCTCGTCAAGATGCAGAGCCATCCTCCCGTCGAACGATCAAATGTTACCTTGACAACCAGAGTGCTACATGTAACTCATCACTCAGTGCCCTGTCTGCTCTTTTAGGCCAGTGATTCCCAACCAGGGGTACTAGGACCCGTGGGGGTACTTGGACTATCCACAGAGGGTACTTGAGAAGACTCATGAGACCATAGGCTTACTGTTAAAATGCACATGAGTGGGTACTTCAGGTGTACTCAGGGTAGAGCAAAATTCTGTTGGTGGTACAGTAACCAAAAAAGGTTGAAAACTACTGGTTTAGGCTATGAAAGACTATATGTCACTATGATTGACATTACACCTGACCCCTTGGGGAAGCAGCCAATAGGAAACCATAAATCAGGTTACTAATCAGGGTAGCAGGGAGGGGCTGGCTCTTACATCGGTCAGGGCGTTTGTTCAGGGTCAGTGTGTCAGTGTGTGTGTGTGTGTGTGTGTGTGTGTATGTGTGTGTGTGTGTGGCACATTTAGGAGGAGAAAGATGTCTTAATCACCTGCTACCAATAAATATATAATGTTTTTAAAGCCATGACAATGTATTATTTTGGAATAATTTAGTGAACTGATGTGCTAATGGAGTAGTGAGATTTGATAGACTGTTAGAGTAGGAGGTGAATATAGTGTGTCTGGCACACCCTCACAGCCGTAATGGTATATTTAATATGCATGATCTCATAGGTGCTCACAGTTGCCAAATTTTGGTCTAAGCACTTACTCAAAAATAATTACTTACTGGAGTTGTGAGTCACCGTAAGAATGACTTATGGCAATTGAGAAGGGCGACAGGTAGCATCGAGGTTAAGAGCGTTTCTTTTTTGTTTCTTTTTTTTAACCTTTATTTAACTAGGCAAGTCAGTTAAGAACAAATTCTTATTTACAATGACGGCCTACAGCGTTGGGCCAGTAACCGAAAGGTTGCTGGTTTGAATCCCTGAGCTGACTAGGTGAACAATCTGTCAATGTGCCCTTGAGCAAGACGCTTGACCCTAGTTGCTCTGGATAAGAGCAGCTCCTAAAAATGACAACCATTTTGAATTCCCAGAACAATCTAAGATACCCAAAATATTTTTGGGGTCCCATGTGGCTCAGTTGGTAGAGCATGGTGCTTGCAACACCAGGGTTGTGGGTTCAATTTTCACAGTGGACCAGTATGGAAAATTCATGCACTCACTACTGTAAGTCGCTCTGCTAAACTTAAATTGTAAACTGTTTTGGGAATATGAGAGATGACATCATTTTGGTATTAAGGGAAGATATTTCATTGTCCATTTGGGGATTTTAGGTGGGTTTTTTGTTTGTTCGGTCGGGTAAATGTATTGAGAATAGGAGAATAGAACTCATTACATTGACTTTACAACAATTTTACCACAATCAATGTTAACCAATTGATATTGTCCGTTCAACCCACAAAACAGTGAATTTGTAAAGTCTACCTGCCATGTTAGACGGCGGCTTCCCAGACTCATGATTCAGACCTAATATGAATGGTAGAATGTCCAAGGCAATATATTTGCATGTTAATGTCCGTCGTTAACCAATGTACAGAACATCATTTTGAGAGCCATATCAAACTGATGTAATCTGACATTAGGAAATGTCTTACAACCAGATGTCTGGGGAGAGTTATATATAGACAGTTACAATGTTATTTTCCTACAAGCCTATATCCCTTTTAAACCTTAATCATTGAAGATCTAAAAATAATTGAATAATCAATTGATGTTAAAAATAATTGGCATGTCAATTGACATCCAGACTCCTGAGACAGCTTCAGACAACTGTATTTAAACAAAAGTCTGATTCCTTTATGTCACTCAGTGCATGATCTTTCCATTCATAAAATGAACATATCTCAAAACTGTCTCCCAAGAACACTAGTTGCATTTGCCCTTTTAGATAGCTGATTGCCTGTAGATGATACATCACCAATAAAAGCCAGGCTACAGTATCTGAAAGACAACTGTATATCTCGGGCCCCAGCCACTGTCCTTGGGTGGGCAACCCCGTGTGAACCACACCCCACAGTGAGTTTATGGATGGATCTTTCAACGGTAGCCAGCCACCATCCCCCACATCAGACCGCTGTCTCAGTTTGGAAACCATTAGGGACTTTGCCACAGGAGGGGAAGGAGACCGCTGCTTGCACAAATGCACACAGCCGGTATGTATCCTCTTTCTATTCTTATTCACTCAAGCAGACGCTCCCTAGCTCCTCTACATAGGTGAACGCAGCATGCTGATGCAAGGACAGAAATACCTAGGTATGCAAATGAGGTAGGCTAATATTGCTATATTGCCCTTATTAAAAAGATAGCTTGGCTCTCACAGTGTAACATACACATGACCACTGAAACCAGACAGGGAGAAGGTAAAAAATAAGTCTGCCAAGAAATATATTGCGTCTGTCGCAGTGTGTCAAGTAAATGTATATCCTTGAATGAATCCCATATTGATTTAAATATGTCTGGTTTTCTAGTGGATGGGAATGAGAAAGACTAGAGAGCAAGCAGGCAGTGTTGCAGTCTGCAGCTGAATCTCCCCCATTCCCCCTGAGCTGCTACTACCCACTCGCACAGCACCACACCCTTTCATCCAGCTGTCTCCTCTCCTCTCCCTCCTCCTGCAGGAGAGAGAGGGGGGGGGGGTTCAGGTGGAGGAGAATAGATTCACCTATCCGCACAGCCCCATGCCTCTCAGACACACGCCTTATTCCCAGGACGGTGAATTGATTAGCAGCGTTGTACATGTTTTCGATGGCCCCAAGAATGATGTTTGCAACCAGATAATATCCAGCCATAATAGCCACCCTCATTTAATTACATTAGTCTGCTCTCTCTCGTTTGAACAAAGGCTCCACATTCACAGCTGGTCTGACAGCGAGGGCTGGTGGCTCCGTTGAAAAAGCCGGTTGCTGCTACTGAGGCTGCTACATGGGTGTGTAGCTCTCTGTGCTTTTAACAGCATGCTGAGAGCAATCTCTCTTGTTGCACCATTTACATGCTTTCTGTTCATCCTTCTAAATACCGAGACTTCATTCATTCATTCATTATCCATTCCTCAAAAGCAGAAAGCAGAGTCTAAGGGCTGGATGCTGCATGGGAGGCGGTTTTCCCTGTGGTGAGCGTAGTGTACGATTCAGATCGCAGCATTGTGTGGAGATTGTGTGGTTTAATGCAGTATTAAAGTGAGAGAGAGAGTAAGAGGGATGCTTCACCCACTTCAGTGCAATGTGCAGTCTGGCTGAGCTAAAATGACTCATACATGCTGACATTTAAGCAGCAATCAGATGTTGATGGAATCCAGTGCTTTATGAAGCCGATAAAATCCCGATCACTCTAGATTGCTTCTGTAGATAGATAGCTCTGTGCTAATAAAAAAGCCCTTCTGATAGCTACTTACAGCAAGGTATTATCTCATACTGTACATCTCCAAGACCCACCCGTAGATTCACAACACCTTCCTTTTCTGAGAAAGGATCTCTCTGTCATGTATTCATCTGTTTTTTCACAACTATGCACCCATAAACATGTGTAGACACTTTTAACCCCAGAACCGTGCTAATCCCTTTAAGGTCCTAATTTATTCCTATTGTAGTCCCTGGAGACACCGTGGCCAGAGGACTTGAGTCTTAGTCAGTGGTTCCTTACCCCACCCTTTTTCCTCAGCAAACATGCCTCTCTATCCTCCTGTTTCTTAGAGATAACACCGAAATATACTTTTTTAGCAGCAATTAGTACATCAATTAAGAGCAGCCTTAAGGTAATAAGAAAGTATTGTGCTCAATGGAGACGGTATCCCCAGTCTTCATGTATCCCCTGATCACAGTACAAAGCAGTCAAGGCAATCACAGAAGGCATCAAACAGGTGCATCAAGTGTCTATCAATACATCTTTCAGTGTTTAAAGTAGTGGATCGATAATAGTATAAAAGACCTCAGCATCATGTTACAGGCTTATCTTACTGCTATTACAATGTGAAGTCTGGCAGCATTGTGGCTACTACACTCATTCAAACATAATTATATTAACAAGGCGTGTCCGTTTTTCATCCGAGACATCACTGAAGTCCCAGTGAGCCAAGAAGACAAGACAATGAGACAAGCATATCCTCAGATCAGTTACTGAAGTAATTAGTCCAAATGTTGACCAATTTAGACACATTTTGAAAATGACAGATGTGAATGAGAGAATCTGTAAAGAAAGCAGTTACCGGTTTTGTTCTTCTTATGCAGCACAGCATACTTGTAGTATCCTTTCTCTTTTCCCTTCGTTCCTTCCTTTTTGCCTTACACTTCTCTCTCACTCCCTCGCTCTCGCACACGCTCACTGGCTGTATCAACAGCTGAGTCGCCTAATGCTTTTACTCATCACAATTTGCACACACACTCACTGTCTGTCTGGTCGCGCCTCTCTCTGACTTGCTGGCTAACAATGACTACAAGCCCACCCTTTAAAACCCCTCCTTCCCTTCCCCTCCCTCTCTTCACGCTGACACCCCCTCCTTCTCTCTCTGTGATGAACCTATCCCTCTCTTCTCCCTCCCCCTCTCTCCTCCACAGGCAACCGGCATGCAGCCTTGCACCGGCGAGAGCTACAACCCCACCCTACACATGGCTCCTTCCCTGTATGAATGATTGAATACATCCAATCTGTCAACAGACAATTCCCATTCTTTTGCTTTTTCAATTCCCGTGTTACACTGGGGCGGTGGTCCTGTTGAATAGCGTTTCTATTAAAGAGGGTGTTGGTAAAGATCAATATATAAACCAAGCTCCAGTCTAAATTACCTACGCCAATTCCCTGTTCTGGCAGAGACACCTGCATGTTGCTGCCAATGAGGATGTGTGAAACTGAATGATAATGCTTACACACGTCAATTTCTCTTCAGTGCTCTGTTCACATGGAAACACTACCAGCTCTCACAGTGCCGTGGCCATGGAGGAGAGGAGGAAGGCTGGGTGTGGCAGCAGCCAGGCTCCATTCCCTCCTCTCTGCCCAAATTTGCACAGAATCTTCTGTGATGACCAGGCACAGTGTACACTGTGGTGAGAGCCCCCACCCCCTCTTTGACCAGAGAGAGAGGGGGAGAGAGAGGAGGTGGAGAGAGGGGGGGAGCAGATTCCAGACACATGAAGACAGGATCCAGGGGTCTCTGCTCTGTCCTCACATGTGCTGCAGGGAAATCATTACAATATTCTACTGAGATGTCCATCCACCACTGTGGCCTGCATGCCAGCCAGCCAGCCACTCAAATCTATTATTGTTATTTGGACTGTATCAATCAATCAAATGTATTCATAAAGCCCTTTTTACATCAGCAGATGTCACAAAGTGCTTATACAGAAACTCAGCCTAAAATCCAAATAGCAATCAATGCAGAGGTAGAAGCATGGTGGCTAGGAAAAACTCCCTAGAAAGTCAGGAACCTAGGAAGAAACCTAGAGAGGAACCAGGCTCTGAGAGGTGGCCAGTCCTCTTCTGGCTCTGCCGGGTGGAGATCATAAGAGTACATGGTCATTAAGGCCAGATCGTTCTTCAAGATGTTCAAACTGTAATATTACGGTTACACTCAACAGCATAAACCAGTGGTCCTTCTAGATTTCTATGAATCACTGAATCCAACACAAATGTGTTGCCATGGTAGTTCAAACGGGGTAGAAATAACAATAATTTCACCGTTATTGTAAATAATTTAGGATGAAATGCCAAAATCAATTGGAATGAGAAAATGAATCTGACAAGCTATTTATTTTATAACAAAAATAAAATATTCTCATTACTAATTTATTGGACTGCTATTGGTTATTATACTGAACAAAAATATGAATGCAACATGCAACAATTTCAAATATTTTACTGAGTTACAGTTCATATAAGGAAATCAGTCAATTGAAATATATTCATTAGGCCCTAATCTATGGATTTTACATGACTAGGCAGGGGTGCAGCCATGGGTGGGCCTTGGAGGGAATAGGCCCACCCACTTGGCAGCCAGGCCCAGCCAATCAGAATGAGTTTTTTCCCACAAAAGGGCTTTATTACAGACAAAAATACTCCTCAGCACACCCCCACCGACGATCCCACAGGTGAATAAGCTGGATGTGGAGGTCCTGGGCTGGTGTGGTTACACGTGGTCTGCGGTTGTGAGGCCAGTTGGACATACAGACAATTCTCAAAAAACGATGATGGAGGCAGCTTATGGTAGAGAAATGAACATTCAATTCTCTGGCAACAGCTGTGGTGGACATTCCTGCAGTCAGCATGCCAATTGCGCACTCCCTCAAAACATGAGACATCTGTGGCATTGTGTTGTGTGACAAAACTGCACATTTTAAAGTGGCCTTTTATGGTCCCCAGCACAAGGTGCACCTGTGTAATGATCATGCTGTTTAATCAGCTTCTTGATATGCCATACCTGTCAGGTGGCTGGATTATCTTGGCAAAGGAGAAATGCTCACTAACAGGGATGTAAACAAATTTGTGCACAACATTTTAGAAAAATACGCTTTTTGTGCGTATGGAACACTTCTGGGATCGTTTATTTCAGCTCATTAAACATGGGACCAACACTTTACATGTTGCGTTTATATTTTTGTTCAGTGTAGTTCACACCAGCAACATGGATAGGGATTTCAAACAACATGGGTGCCAGTTTTTAAGTTAGATTAGGTTTAAAGACCAACATTATTGAAAATGTACTGTAGTTCAACTTACATGGTAAATTGACTAACCATTTAACCAATGGACATATTTTACTAAGCAGAATTATAATATAATTTGCAAATACATATATTCCACAACAATCACTACACTGTACATCCAAATTCCAACATGTTAATCAAATCCAGTAAATTCATTCAACCTCAGAACGTGAGGTCATAATATATCCACTCCTGAATGTAGTTATATCAACTAGTTCAAAAGTAACACTAACTCTGAATGATATGTTTAAAATAATACTAAATGGACTCAATCAAGCAGATGTAGCCACAGGTAAAGACTGTCTATAATTCTAGACCGATAGTTCAACAAAAACTCTCATAATAACTGTACAAAAACAATTCTTCTAAATTTCAAAAGTTATAAAGCAGACAATAACTTAGTAATATATGCTTCTCCTTCATAATAAGAAAATCTATCCACAAATGTTTAGAGTATAGTGATAAACGTACGTGTGTGTCCGGCACTGGATCCACATTTATCCCAACAGCGGAATCAGCTGTGGACAAGCCATGAGAGAAGGGAGGAGTGTGTGTGAGAGACTGCCCCTTCCACAGAACCAAGTCCAGGAATCTTGGCATTTTTAACAAACAGTGTAAGTGAGAATTCCATTGAACCCCTCCCATTGGCAAGGCATGGAGGTGGACGCTGTTCTTACAGACCACCACCACCAGGGGTCTCTAGCACTGAGACTCGTGCCATGGTCTCTCCCTGAGCTGGAGACCTCTCTTTGTGGATGTAGTTATCCTCATAGTCGGAATCCTAGAAACAGGAAGTGGGGTAACAGATAAATATTTCATAGACATCTCATATTGTCAGACATAAACTACATTTAGAATATGAAATTGATCGGGCGAGACATGTGCCCCTAAGTAATTCATAAGCAAAGAAAATATGCCATACCAGCAAATATAGGTCGCAGCATGTCATGTTTTCTCCTTGCTGTGGATCTGCTTGAAGCCAGGCTCCTCTCTGTCAAAAAGATGGTAGAGTTCAAATTGGTCAAATCACAAAACAGTCAGCATAAGCAATTTGCTATATTGGCTCAAGGCCGTTTCTCAATTAATCTTTCCTCGATTTCTCGCTTCCTCTCTGCTCAGCTTCTTTTCAATCGTATTGGAGGAGAAGGTCCACTGTCCCGCCCCTCGGACCCTCTTTTCCAATTAATTTTGAGAAGGAGGCGAGGAGAGAGGACCCAAGGAATCAAGGAAAGATTCATTGAGAAAAAGCCATAGTGTCCATTCAGCAAGTCAGCGATGGGGGCTCCCTTTACCAGAAACCATATCACTTCTTTAAAGTCATATGTCCATACACTACCAGTCAAATGTTTGGACACACCTACTCATTCAAGGGTTTGTCTTTATTTTTACAATTTTCTACATTGTAGAATAATAGTGAACACATTAAAACTATGAAATACCACATATGGAATCATGTAGTAACCAAAAAAGTGTTAAACAAATACATTATTTGGATTTTTGGTTCCAACCGCCGTGTCTTTGTGAGACGCGGTGTGGGTGAACGGATGATCTCCGCATGTGTATTTCCCACCGTAAAGCATGGAGGTGGAGGTGTTATGGTGTGGTGGTGCTTTGCTGGTGACACTGTCTGTGATTTATTTAGAATTCAAGGCACACTTAACCAGCATGGCTACCACAGCATTCTGCAGCGATATGCCATCCCATCTGGTTTGGGCTTAGTGGGACTAACATTTGTTTTTCAACAGGAGAATGACCCAACACACCTCCAGGCTGTGTAAGGGCTATTTTACCAAGAAGGAGAATGATGGAGTGCTGCATCAGATGACCTGGCCTCCACAATAGAAAATAGTAAAAATAAAGAAAAACCCTTGAATGAGTAGGTGTGTCCAAACTTTTGACTGGTTCTGTATGTCTAGGAGGCCCTGAAGAACTGGTGCACTGAATGAGGAGTAAATCCACTCAATGGGGAGTGGTAACCTTGGGCCTGGCTCTTGTCCTTCGGAGGGCAGCACATGCGACCCAGCAGAGCCAGCGCAATGATTGCGGAAGGAAGCAGGATGAAGGCTAAAAGCACCGCCACGTCCAAGAAGCTAACCGCAAGCACTGTGGAGAGGCAAGGGTTCATCATAACCACATACATACTCAGTGTCAGCACAAAGTGGAGACGGTAAAGATTCCATGATCTCTTTAGGTACGAGATCCGCCTTGTACCTATGACCGCAGCACAGCCGTGCTAAAAAGGTTGTTTAGCACGACCCTCTCGTGTACAATTGCTTTAATAAACCCGTAAAATGAATCTGCATCCTGTCCTCAAAAACATCTAAAAGAGAGATTATTTTAGCTTTGTGAAAAATATGACTCAATCTGTAGTGCACACGTACCTAAATCTATAAGTATTTGAAAAGGCATCAATAAATATGTGACCGACCATTCCAGCATTGAACACGAGGTAGGTTTTACTGCCCAATGAGAAGTAAATCTCCCCAGTGCCACAATTCCCACACAGTCATGTTCTACACGTCATCATTCCTAAGGTCAATAGGGTGAACCCACAATCCACCTTTACTAACAAATCCTAAACTCCTGCCTCTCAATTAAGGGCCAAATCCTGACTTGAGACGCACACAAATGTTCTTACTGGTAAATGTGGTCAAAAGTCCCATTAACATCAATGCATGATTGACATGCACCCATCCAGAATTTGGCCCTAAATATCAATTTCTCAGAGGAATTGTCTCACCTTTGGGCGTCACGGTGAGGACAGTCTGTGAGGTGGGGAATCCGCGGACATCGGGGGGGGGGGGGTTCTGACGGAGCAGGTGTAGGTGCCGTTGTCGTTGAGGGAGGCGTTGAGGAGCTGGATGGAGGCCTCGCCCCGGGCTGCCCAGCCACTTCACGTGGCCGTTAAACGGTCCGTCCCGCGGAGGGAACGCCAGAGAGGAGAAGTGGAAGAACTGGGGAACAAAGAGAAGAGGAGAGATTGTGATGACTCTGGGCATAGGGTTAGGACAATGTTACTCAGACCTTGGCAACTACAGAGCCACTTTACAAGACACAGACAACAGAAATACTGCATCAGTCACACTAACCATTACCATGTTTCGAAAAGTATGGGGGTAGAAGGCTGGGACTGGTTTCGAATAGGGGTTTGAATAAAGTTGAAGCTAAAATAGGGTTTTACTCATCAGACAGTAATACCAATAGACAATAACGCCTTGATCACACCAACAGCGTCATTGCGCAAAATGTTACGCAGCATCATCTGTGCAACAAAAGTTCAACTTTCACCTTCTGCTACCATTTCTGTCAACCTGTTTATGCATACAGTTTGACGCATACATTCGATAAATCCAACGTATGCACCACACAGAACGCATTGCAACTGCCTCTGCAACGCAATGCTGCAATTCTGGTGTACCATAATGCAATGACGCTGTCGGTGTGATCGAAGCGTAAGAAGTGTTTAAGAGCCACGTTGAAGAAAACAAACTACACATAGGGAATGAACGCCACAGGAAAATATACACAAAGACGAACACACAGCAGGCCTGTTAACAATCAATGGTGCTTAACAGTTATATTGTTTTATAGCTCTGTATGGGCTGGGTTCTCCTGGAGGCACTTCAGTTCAGACAGCCATAGAGCTGAGAGAGCTGATACTGACAGCACATTAAATCTAATCACTGCACCCAGTCAACTCAGTCAGATACTTAGGCCTACCTCAGACAGGTTACACCTAGCCAAGTGCCTCTGAAACATTCAGAGCCAGACCCAGATTAAAGCTAGTCCTGGACTAAAACTCACTTTCAATGGAGATTCACCATTGAGGATCATTTTCAATCCAGGACTAATTTGGGTCCAGGAAACCATCTCTCAGGGTGCAAATGTTAGGGCCTGTGGTTAAAAGAATTGTGGTTACAGTAACTGTAGTGACTCAACGAATAAAAACCTGGTGGATCATAGGCATTAAAATGGATTTGAATTGATTTGCTCATGTCTTATACAGGACATTGATTGACTGGAGTTGTTCATTCAGTGTCATTCAGAGGAATTTAATCACAAGCCATCCAAGTCCTCCCTCGCTATCCGTTGCTACGGATATGTGATTTAATCATTGGACATTTTGAGCTGCCTTTTCAATCCTGGAAATTAATTATCATCAAGATATTGATAATTATGCAGGGAGACTGAAGCACACCACCAATTCATAGTTCTCAAGCCTTGGCTGATAAATTATATTTCTGATTGAGTTTTCAAATGCATATTCACAGTTCCTTTTGATATACGATTGTGGCAATAAAAGTGGCCGAATCCGCTAATGAAATTGGATGGAAATAAATGTGCCATGAGAGACAAATTCACTCTCTAGCTCTGTTGTGTTGGTTAGCTCTGTTGGGCTATGCGGCGAAAAGTTATACATGTTTCCCTATCCGTCTATAGTTGCACAGAACAAACTTGTTCAAGTAAATAAAGGAATGAAACCAAGGATGTTGTTGGATTCCGGTATACTCTGGTATTGACCAACCCCAGATATGCTTATACAGCCAAGCCGACACACCCCTAGGAAAAAGAGTTTGTGTTAGTGACGTTACAGCCCACTCTATCTGCTAACACTGACACAGCAGTAGGCCTGACTACTACATCTTAATGACTAAACCAACAGCTCCTATCACCCCATCAAGGGAGCCTCAGCACATTAGCGCTGAGTGCTCCTATAGGATATGATTTGCCAACACTACATAGCGTATACGTTATCGGCCCTCCAAATGGAATAAAAAACTTACGTGGTCAGCTGCTAAGAGTATCGACAAGGAAATTTGATCTAGGGGAGCTTTGGGGTCGGAGACCTGACTCGCAACTTAACATAAATTGACCACATCACCAAGATGTTGACATAATGTGTGTTATATTTCAAAACAGGCCCACCCCCATAGATTCAATACTGTCATTTTCCATGTGAACTCCAACCCACACAGAGTAATGCAAATGTATAACTTAACATACGGCATACTGTAGGTCTGCATGTGATTCAGATTTCAACAGTACATTACAATTCTTCTGCAAGTAGATGTTTTCAAGCCTTCGTACACCGTTTCCACAGAGACAAGTGAAGGACACATATTCAAAGGAACGTTTTTCTTCTCCAAAAAACTCTCTCTCTCTAAGGACATAGAGACAGTCCGAGTACCTCGATCTACAAATATTTCAGTGATCTAAAATGAATGTTCTTACAGAGCAGCATCAGAGGGTTAATAGGGTATGCAGATATCCTGTGCTATTTCAAAAGACCTAGGAGTAAAGTGGACCGAGAATGAAGAAGCTAATCTCATAACCAAGGTAGCAATCATGTTGAAAAAAGTATTTCAAGCTGAAGAGCCTTTGGAGCAGCAGATGCTTGATAGCTATTGGTATTCAAATTGTTGATGGGAAAGTTGGCAGCCCATTGGCATGTATCCCCATAGGACTCAAACATACAGGAAATGACTCCTCCTACTGTCCAACCAGTAAATATCAGAATATGAATTGTTACATAAATCTGATCAATGTCAGTAGACCTCAACCAAGAGTCATATCCTTAGTTATAGATAATGGCTGCTTTGCATTGGACGCAGGCTACTTTATGCTCAATAACAAAACGTGAGTGAAATTGAAAACAAGGAAAGCAATTCAAAGCCATGGGTCTCATGAATTTCACATGACAGGCTATTGCGTTCCTGTTGCAAGGAACATAGGCCTCAGGCGCAATTTGGTTTGTTGTGAACATGCAGTATAATTATTTGGTAGTGGCCATTCACAAATTGATACATAGTAGCCTAATCAAAATGTTGTAGGTTGTATAAATACATAGTAACATATTATGTTAATTGTGAAGGTAAACATGTGGCATATTATAATAATTCATAATAATTCAAACGATAATTCATAAGGAATGAGACCGTAGGATAAAAAAGTAGGTCTAGACAATTATTGTCACGATCGTCGTAAGGAATTGACCAAGGCGCAGCGTGTTGAGCGAACATCGTAGACTTTATTAAATTAAAGATACCACGATCAAAACAACAAACCAAAATGACGAAAGTGAAGTCCAAATCTGACACTGACAAAACAGGATCAAGGAAACAAAAACCCACAAAACCAAGGTGAAACCCCACAGTATAAATATGGCTCCCAATCAGAGATAACGAGCCGACAGCTGTCACTCGTTACCTCCGATTGGGAGTCACCTGAATAAACACTAACAATCACCACACATAGAAATGAAACAACCAGAATACCCAACATAGAAATACACCCAACCAAGGAAAATGAACAACCCTGGCTCAATAATAAAGTCCATGGAGCCAGAGTGTCACAGTACCCCCCCCTAAAGGTGCGCACTCCGGGCGCACCAGCATACAGTCTAGGGGAGGGTCTGGGTGGGCGTCTGTCCATGGTGGCGGCTCTGGCCCAGGTCGTGGTCCCCACCCCACCTTAGTCACTATCCGCTTCCCTAGCCTCCTCCACATGACCACCCCCCAATTAAACCCCACTGGATTAAGGGGCGGCACCGGACTAAGGGGCAGCACCGGACTAAGGGGCAGCACCGGACTAAGGGACAGTACCTGACTAGCTGGTTCTGGCGGATCCTGGCTGGACGGCTCTGGCGGATCCTGGCTGGACGGCTCTGGCGGATCCTGGCTGGCGGAAGGCTCTGGCTGATCCCGGCTGGAAGGCTCTGGCGGATCCCGGCTGGACGGCTCTGGCTGATCCTGTCTGGCGGAAGGCTCTGGCTGATCCTGTCTGGCGGAAGGCTCTGGCTGATCCTGTCTGGCGGAAGGCTCTGGCTGATCCTGTCTGGCGGAAGGCTCTGGCTGATCCTGTCTGGCGGAAGGCTCTGGCTGATCCTGTCTGGCGGAAGGCTCTGGCTGATCCTGTCTGGCGGAAGGCTCTGGCTGATCCTGTCTGGCGGAAGGCTCTGGCTGCTCCTGTCTGGCGGAGAGCTCTAGCGGCTCCGGTCTGGCGGACGGCTCTGAAGGCTCATGGCAGACGGGCGGCTTTGCAGGCTCAGTACAGACGGGCAGTTCCTGCGGCGCTTGGCAGACGGACAGTTCAGACGGCGTTGGGCAGACGGGCAGTTCAGGCGCCGTTGGGCAGACGGACAGTTCAGACGGCGTTGGGCAGACGGGCAGTTCAGGCGCCGTTGGGCAGACGGACAGTTCAGACGGCGTTGGGCAGACGGGCAGTTCAGACCCCGTTGGGCAGACGGCAGACTCTGGCCGTCTGAGGCGCATCGTAGGCCTGGTGCGTGGTGCCGGAACAGGAGGTACCGGGCTGAGGACACGCATCTCAGGGCTAGTGCGGGGAGAAGCAACAGGGCATGCTGGACCCTGGGGACGCACCGTAGGCCTGATGCGTGGTGCCGGAACTGGAGGTACCGGGCTGAGGACACGCATCTCAGGGCTAGTGCGGGAAGCAGCAACAGGGCATGCTTGGCCCTGGGGACGCACCGTAGGCCTGATGCGTGGTGCCGGAACTGGAGGTACCGGGCTGAGGGCACGCATCTCAGGGCTAGTGCGGAGAGCAGGAACAGGCCGGGCTGGGCTGGCGACGCGCACCGTATCTCTGGTGCGAGTGGCCGGAACAGGCCGGGCCGGGCTGGCGAAGCGCACCGTAGGCTTCGTATGAGGCTCAGGAACAGGCCGGGCTGGGCTGGCGACGCGCACCGTACACTTAGTGCGAGGGGCCGGAACAGGCCGTACCGTACTGGGGACACACACTACTGGCTGTACCTCGGGATTAGGAACGGGCCGGACCGGACTGGATACACACCTCAGTCTCTCACGCCGTGCCTCTACATCTCCTTTCCCTACTTTGGCCAGTGACCCCCTTAACCTGGTAGCCTCCTGAATCCGTCCCTTCTCTGCCTCCGTCAGCCCCCTTAACCTGGTAGCCTTCTGAATCTGCCTTGTGGCAGCCTCCTGCTGCTCAGTCGCCCAAGCCATGTGCCCCCCCCAAAAAACTTTTTGGGGTTGCTTCTCGTCCTTCCAACGATGATGGCCCTGCTGACGCCGTTGCTCCTCTCTTGCCAGGGCCTTGATCTTCCCCCAAGGTCCCTTGC